GATTTGTTTCACATAATATCTAGGATGAGCACACATGTTCTATAGAATACTTGCTTTTAGTGAAGTAGATACGTCATTGAATGTTGGTATCTGAACTTTGTAGAAACTGTCTTTTAATCATAGGGTTAAGCTGCGAACTATAGGAATTACCCTCTCTCTCTCTCTCTCTCTCCCCCTGCCCCCCCCCCAGGAGGCATAAGGAACAAAGTGTTTCACATAATGTCAAACGGCAGCGGATTGATTCAAAGAATTCTGACACAACTGTAGTTAACCAAGCCGTGCCTTTACCAGAAGAACGTCAGCACTCCTTCCCAGGACCAGTTTCAATTCAGTCTCCATCGTTCCTCGCTCGTGGCTCACCAGCTTTAGCTAGATGTGTCCCTCCGTTGCGAGATACTTTGTTTCCAGACCCTACAGAAGCCAGGCTCCCTCTGGCCAAAGATGAGGTAGTAACTTTCTGTGCTTGTGCTTACTTCTGCCTTCTGAGTAGGCAGAATCCAGAGGTGCTGTGGGAGACCACAAAAATTTATGCAAGGTTTTTGACAGTGTAACAGGGTCTCTTATCGCTGAGCTGTCATTAGAAGGAATATCAATAAATGTAGCTGCTGCTGTAGTTCTGTATAACCCCATGTGTGTGCTTGGGTTTGGAACATTTTTTTCGGGGGTGGGGAAGGTCAGCGTGTTATTTGCTTGTGTTGTTTGGTTTCCATACTAATGTCAGGAAACCTACATATCTGCTCCAGGAAGTAAAAATTGAAAGAATGGTCCATTTCTCACATGATATGGGGGGGGGGGAAGAATCCAGATTTTAAAAAAAACCAAACTCCATGGTAATATGAGAGAAGTGCATTCTGAATAAATACAGTTTTGGGCCTGTAAAGATGTCTTCTACCTCTTTTCAAGAGGATGTAAAAGTTGTGGTTGTAGCTTTTCTGTAATATGGAAGAGAGAAGCTTTTTTTTTAGTATGAATGTGCCTGCTGAATATAGCATATAGCAGTATTGTGAAAGAAAAATAATTAACACCTCCTTCCAACAAAGATCTGACTACTTCTTTAATAGTTTGTGTGGGATAAAAAATAAAGCTAATTTAAAATTTTTTTTTAATAATTTTTTCACCTACTTGTAGGCAAACTGTTGACATTAAAGTCAACAGAAGATATCTCTAGTCTTTTACTACCTATTTCCTGAGGGGCTGCTGATACTGATGACACAAAAATTATTTCCATGTGGATAGGCATTTTATAAAAAATTGAACAAATTTAAATTTGAAAACTAGCAGAAGTTTCTTTGAGGGTGTTAATCAATATGAAATTTAAGTGCAGTAAAACTCTAGACAATGGAGTGAAGTGATGCTGGTTTTTGCATTAAAAAAAAATAACTTCTGTGTTTGTTTTATGTAATTACATATCTGACAGGAAAGAATGTTCGCTTCTCTGTATCTTTACTTTTTGGATGTGTGTGTCCAGTTAAGTCAACAGGTTTTGGACTTGTTTCAAGCATGTCGACAACAGGCCTCTGATTTGAACAGCAAAGAGCTCTGCAGAACAGAACTCCAGAGAGAAATTCAGCTAATTTTTCCACGTATGTTTTGAATTTAGTTGCTTAATACCAGCTTGAATGTTCTTCAGGTTTGCAGTTTTTCCTTCCTCTCAAACTGTTATATGTCACATCATGTTTATTTGCTGTTATTCGTTTATTACAGAGAGCAGACTTTATTTGGTTGGATCCTCTCTGAATGGATTTGGCACTCGTAGTAGTGATGGGGATTTGTGCCTGGTGGTTAAAGAAGAACCAGTAAGTAATTTAAAACTATATAGTTAAAACAAAGTCTGGTTTTATGTGTGTGCTGTTAAAAGGCTGGATTCCAAAATGATAAACAGATGGTTAAATCCTTTTGATTTAATAACATATTTTTGCATTCATAATAGCTATGAACTATGGGCCCAGTAATGTTGCAGATATAAATTCAACCTTATAAACCTAATAAAACTTTAAAAAATAAGCTTTGCCTTCAATTTGTGAGTGAAAAAAAATACAGCCAAGCAGAAGTAAGTGTGTAGAACAAGGAAGAAAATTGTTTAGAGAACTCTAATTTTTTCTAGATGCAGAAACAACTTTTAGAAAGTCAAATTTTTTATATCATTATTTAGATTCATACCTACCTAGTTTAATGATCAAGTATAAGAAGGAATTTGATAGGCAAAATATCTTAAATATTTTTAGTGATAGAAAATGTTATGAGTGGAATTTTACTTGAGAGAAAAGCTATAACAAAAAAGAAATCTAAATAGACCATAATCTTGAAAGAATTGAAGCATCATATTAACAGAAGGAGAGTACATTTTTGTGTAGGTGGGGCTAGGTAATCACCTAATTCTGTGATTTTTAAGTTATTTTGAATATTAAATATAGATTGTTCTATCTGGCATTTGCCATGATAAATCTATATCTAGGCTGTAGAATGTATTGATGTACATGTTCGTGTCTTATTCACAGAATTAATTTCATTTTAAAAGCAAAGCATGCTTACTTGGAACACTTAGATAAGAGATATCAACTTTTTTCTTTACTTTTAATATCATATTTCAGGTGAATCAGAAGACTGAAGCGAGACGTATACTCAGCTCAGTTCAAAAACTCTTCAGTACTAAACTTTGTAAGTTCCTGGCTACAGTGAGGTGGTAAGATTATTGGCAATTCTGGAAGAAGTATTGATGCACAATTGCAACTACTGTATGTAATTGCATATTGTCTAGCTTCTAATCATAGTACTGTTTCCAGCAAAGCTATAAGTATTTAATAATGTTGTTTGGTACTGGTGATGGTAATTAGGAAAACATAATGGTTTTCTTGAAGACTAGTCAACTTCAGTAACAGGTAATATCTCAAATGGCTTTTTAATTGTGGAACACAATGAGAAGGGGGTAGATTTCTCTTTGGGAAACCTCTGTTAGTGAACCCTTACTACTCTTTTAGATTGCACTGCTTTCCTGGGAAAAATACTCTTTAAGAATTTGTAAAATAAGATGTCACTGTGTAGAACTGATTTTTTAGGGGACAGGGAGGGCTTGATAGGTGTGAAAAAATTACCTTAGGTGCCTAATGAAGCAATCACTAAATGTGGATAGTACCAACACATACAGATAAAACAGATCAATTCATAGTTTTTGTAAGCTGTTGTTTAGACTCCCTTCAGATGAAGAATTCACACGGGCAGTTCTTAATTTAAATGTGAAAGCTTCCTACTTCAAAGAGGCTTTTGTATCATCCTTTGAATTGTAAAAGAGCCAGACATTTACTGATATCAATGACTTTATCACCCTGTTTCTCAGACTTGTGGTACATTCTTTGATGCTTGTATTGATGTTCTGAACGATCCTGCAGTGCTAAAAGGAACAAACCATAAATTTAAGTGTGATCTTCAAAATTTCCTCATTGGCGGGTGAGCACACACAGATTTTAACAGCTCACTTTGAATCCTTATTACTGTTGTATATTGACATTTGCATAAGGAGTCCAAAACTTAATCTGGGTTTCCCTGGAATGCAAGACTCTCCCGTGCTTCACACAAGAGAATGGAAATAAACATAGTTTGGGCCAAACATCAAAGCTGATAAAGTATGTGCCAAGATGTAAGAGAAACAACAAGAGAAAGAAAGATAAGATGTTACTTAAAATTAAGTACTTGCTCTGGTTTTGTGAAATACTTAACGGACAAAAAGAAATAAGGAGGAGATTTGTGATATAGGTAAAGTTCAAGAGCTTTTTTAACGTTTTTCCAGATCATTTCAGTTTTTTCTATCTGTGCCTCTCATAGCGTCCTCCTCTTTGTTATGTGATGTTCCTGTATATTCCAAAATAAAGGCAACAGGAGATGTGATTCTCTGCTTATTTCACCTTAATTCCATGATTGCCAAATGAAGAAGCATTCCAAGTGCTGATTAGATCAGTCTCTTTCACCATTTGTGTTAGGTAAATCAACTTCAGAACTTTAAGTGCTATCTCTCATCCTTTATATACAGTTATATGTGGTTGTTAGATTAGTATTTCCTTCTAGGAGGTTTAGGGAGTGGATTCAAAATTTGTATAAACTCCATCTTATTTCAGTTTCAGGCTTGCAAAAGGTAACAAGTGTGAGCAAGGAATTTTAGCCTATCTTAGAGTCTCTTAGAGCAGAGGCTTTTCTGTGTTGTCATTCTGCATCTAGAATACCAAGTGAAATGAGAATGTGTTCTGGTTTTGAATAATCTAATCTCAGAGAAAAGTAGGAAAAAGGTTTTGGTATTTATTCACTGTTTTTGTGGGACTTGTTATGTATTGTGTTTCTCCTAAGGCAGAGACGTGGGGATAGCAGATATATCGTCCATTTCAAAGACTAGCTGAGTGCACGTAACTTCCTGATTTATTTGTTCAGATACATGCATATACATTTTTTTACAATATTGGCTAACATTCCCAGAAATGTACACTCAAGCCAATGTCTTTAGAAATGTGAAACATCAGTTTGGAGTGATAATTGAAGAGATTATAATCCAGACCACTGAGAGTAAATGTCAGACTGAGTACTCTCTTCGGATTCATCTCTGCAGGATTCATTTGAAAAACACTTGGCAGTATTGGGTTGACTGCTGTTTACTATCTGCGTAAATAACAAAGAGCTCTTTTTCTCTTAGATTTACAAAGAGGGGCAGTAGTGTTGAGGCTGGAGTATCAGAGTGGAATCTGCCTAATAGTTGTCTAGTAGGAAATGTGCAATAGCTGGGATGAGCCGGGGAATTTGAACTCAAATGGACTATGCAGTTGAGCAAGTGAATTCCAAAAAATCAGCAGTTAATTCCTCCTGTGCTTGCTTGTGCCTTCCTAGATTCATCAAAAATGCAATCAGACTTCTGTGTTGCCCAGTTTCTCCTTCAATAGTATAACCCAATGAATGAGTCCAGGCTACACGTCCGGGATGTGAAAGATCTTTCTGGCGTATACTGTGTTTGGGATTAATGTTTTGTCCAATTCCCAATCTTCTATTCTGTAAAAGGAAAGAGAGAATTAAGCTGTTTAATCTGAAATTGTGCATGAATAAATTATTTATGAAGCAGTGCTTAGCCTTCTTTGAAGCCATTATATTCTTTTTTGCTAAGCTGAAGTGGTGTTCATGACCTTTTCACAGACATGCCTGAAACTGTGGAGCAGCCATGTAGATTTCTTTACGTGTATTTTGGTGTAGCCTCTCTGGTCGTAGCTTTCAAGGTCACATAGTTTGATAAGGCACTTATTCAACCTGTATGTGTTTCAGAATTCCACATTCTGTATTTGCGACTGTTTCTTCTCTTTTATGTATAACAATACAGACTCTGCTAACAGTGTCATTGTTCTGAGGCAAGAAAGAGGATATCATCAGGAAGTTACTGCCTTTTAACTTCCTATTTGCTCCTTCTAACTTCCTCCTTGAAACAGATTGGGATTATGTTTTGGGATGTATCTTTTCTTCTTAGCCAACTAATTTGACACAAGCATCCATCAAGTGTTGTGAGGCATTTGAGACAGGAGTGTGTTTGGAAGTGGATTGCCACTAAGAATGAGTTTGGTTAACCTCTGAAGAGCACTTGGGAAGGGTTGTAGTGAGGAAAGTTGAATTGCTATGGCATGCAGATAGATATGCACCCTTGTCTCCCATGTGCAGGTGCATTGGGAATCTTTGTCTTAAGTTTGATAATGAAAGGAAAGAAGGCAGAGAGCTCTGTATACTTTAGAACTTCACTTTAAGAATGTTATGGGATGCAGGAGGAAAGGTGCTTGAATGTGTCTGAAGGCGAAGCTAGAAAGAGGGAACGCGTGTGCAAATTGTACTAAATTTTACATTCAGTGAATGTGAATTGAAGTTCTTAAGGATTCTTCCTTTAACATTAATAAGTTAGTAAGATTATCAGAGTCTGTACCTGTAAGATACAGACTCTGAACGCCAGTCTGTGTGTTACTTAGGCTTGTACAATGCATTAGAATCCAGAGAAAGGATTGCTTCAGGTCAAATGTGTCTGAACATGTGTATGCATAAAACAGTTTTGGAAAGTCTCAAGAAAAAAAGTGAAGTTTGTTTTACTTGAGTATTGCACAGCAGCATTTCACTAAATCTGAATTTGTCATCCAAAAGCGGTGGAGATGATGTGGTTTAATCCAGGTGGCTATCCAAACTGACAGAAATTCTTTTTCACCTTTTTTGGGGAGGGAAAAATATCAGATTTTATTCAAGGTTATTTTTAATCCGTATTACTTCTAACTGTGTCATACTTATTTATACTAATTTGACGTTAATTTGTAGAACCAATGGGAAAATGTATGATGTTAGATATGGACAAATTCAAGTAGTCCTAGACTTTGCAACAGAAGAAATTACTAAAATGGTTCTTTTTGCCCAAATTTGTAGCATGTAACCTACAGGCTCTACTTTTCTTTCTTCTCCATTACTTTCTTGGGAACATTTTTCACTCAGGATTGTGGGTAACTGCTAAACATAGGCTGAGGTATCATGAAGTATACGGAAATCACAACAATGTGACAGAACAGTTTTGGGGAGCTGAGTGCAAAGGGTACATTTGGTAACACTGTGTGAGTCTGGCAGAGTTTAATATGTGTGGGTTTGGATGGTCTGGCATTGAGCCTACGTGTTGATACTGTGTGGATAATCATCTGAAGTGCCATCCTGTGATTGTGAATGTTCTATCACTATTAAAGAAAAGGGCAGATACAGCCTATGCCATCTTTGATAGAAAGTGTTGTCCTGTTCTACAGTACAACATTCTTGGTATGTAGTTTATTGTTCAAATGAGCAGTTTTCAAAGCAAGTTTTAAGTCTATGAGTGAATAGTAGTAAATGAATAATAAAGACAGTTGTATCAATTTTTTGATCATTAAAATACATAATTCCAACTGTAAGCAAATTAGGCACAATTAAAACGAATGCAGCTGATTGCATGCTGAGTGTAGTGTTGCTACACTGTAGTGTTGAGCTTAAGTGTCTGCCCATCCTGGTTGGATATGTTCTTGCTCCCTTATTTTTGAACCTTAATTATAACTATTCAGGATTTCTATTACAAGTACTGTTCCATGAAAGCATTGTAGAACTGTATTCATTATGTTCAAATTTTTGGGAATATATTTCCCACAGCAAAATCTCTAATGTTCTACTTCCTTCTCTAACGTTTAGAGTTATTTTCTTTTCACCCACTCTCCTGTATTTTTGCTGCAGTTGCTAAAGGTTACTTAGTTTAGCACAACCCTTCTGAGAATATATTTGCTAAATTTAACAAGTTACTATTTGTGATAAATCAGTCAATATGACTCCACTTTAGGATATTTTATTAAGATCAGCATCTTACATGAAACTTAATTGCATATTTTTCTCCCTTTCAGCAAGCTACATTGAGCGACCTCAGCTGATTAGAGCAAAAGTGCCAATAGTGAAATTCAGGGATAAAGTCAGGCAAGTATTCTGTTCAACACAATTTTTTAGACTTTGATATGGGAAAGTACTCCATATATGTACTGTCCTAAGAAGTAATCCTGCCGTCATGCCTATTTATTTGTGTGGTGCCTTAGTTGTGTTGAGCTTTGTTCAGCTAGCTTGCAGTGGCAATCAGCTTACTTCCTTGATTGCCTGAAACACCTCTTATGGTTGAAATGCTGTTTGGTTTCTGTGATGTGAATTAGAAGCAGTACATCACATATTTCCATGAGTTATTTGTACATAGTGGAATCCAGTTGACAGATGGTTTATAACAGAAAAACAATGGCGGGAAGAAAACTGCTGTGAAAGTTAATTTTGCTTGTTGTGCAAACGTAACTACTAAGCTACTTAAGGACTAATTCACAGTATTTACACTATACAAACAACTCTAAAATGAACTTTAGTTTATTGTGATGTTTTCTTGATTAAAAAGGTCTTGTTCATTTTGGAGAGTAAATTCTGTCTTCTAGGGAGATACTCTGTGTTTAAGAATATGTTATTGCATGTTGTATTCACACTATTAGGTAGTAATTTTGTGGCCTTTGTTTAGAAGGGGAAGTAATTAGAGAGAAGTGGATGTGTTATACCTTGTAGTATTCATTATATATTCATTATAAAGACATAAGAGAATAAGAGGGATGTAGTAGGGCAGAGAATGATGTATTTTTTATTATGTGTGATAAAAGTATCTGATAGAGGAAAAAGTCATGCAAAGCACTGAAATATGTTAACAATCTGAGTAATGTTCAAATCTTCCTATGTTTATTGGCTTAGCTTTGTAGGATTGATGTGTATCAGCTTCATATAGTAACATAGTTTCACTATTTTTGTAAATTGGAACAACTTTCTTCTATCTGTCTTACCCTCTCTATATGCCTCTAAAATTTTGCAACCCTGTATCTGTCTCATGAAAACAAATGAGCCCACTTCTCTGGCATCTCCTCTAAAACCATATCCCTTTTTTTAATCACAATATGCCTTTATCAGAGCAGAAACCTTGCCATGGTAAAACTAAATCTGGTCATGTTTACAATTTGAACTAATCTGTATCGTCCATTTAAACTTTTCTTTCATCTGAGGTTATATAACACTGGTAGGGATTTTCACTTTATACTGTTTCCTTCATTTAGGCCTAGTCCCATAGTTACTCTGTATAGTTGTCTACCTTTTAAAAATTTGAATATTTTTTTATCTAGTAACTTTCTAACAGTACAGAAGGTTATTTCTCCCATCCTTTCTGAAAGTATTATACTTGTCAAGTTAAAATCTGGGTTCTACGGCTTAGCTACATAGAGCAATGCTAGTCATTTCATAATACATGAAATGATAAATTGTTTTTGCAAATATTGAATAAGTTGTGGGATTATAGCAGGAAATTTTTTTCCACTTTAAAATCAGAAAATAAACTTTAAAAAGAAACCTTAAGTATGAAAGTGATTGTATGAGAAGATTGAAGGCATTTATAATCCACACTGCAGTCACTTTCAAAAAATAGTAAGTAATGATAATTATATGCCTTACAGATATGATTTAAAGAACTCTAAAGCAAAATATAATCTTCTTATACTAGAAGCTGCACATTATATTTTTGCAGAGTAAAAACCAATGCTGTTTGCCGTCTGGTTTCCTGTGTTGCTTTTGTGGAAGAGAGGAGAAGCAGGGAATTACATGACTTTGGGTTGGGGTTTTTTTTGTATGGTGTTTGGTTTTGTTTATTTTCTGTCTTTACAGTTATCTTTTTCTTATATAACCTGTCTTCTCCACCCACGTGTTGTCATTTTATTTAAATATCTGTCTCTTTCTAATCACTTATCGTCTTCTGACTTTTGTAGGCTCATATATACACATACACACAGAGGTCTTGAAAAATGCATTGGATATTCTGTACCCAGGGCACTAAGCTTTTTTTTGCCTAAACTGGAAACTAAATATGACAAGCTTCCTGTGAAAACCAGTTTTCTTGATGCCCAGCTGCTGGGAGAAGATGGTAAAATTCCCTGGGTGGTATCTCTGTATCTGGAGATGCACATTCTGATGTGTTACCAATGGTCCATATATACCTGAAAATGACGTTGTTTAAGTTTGCCACTTACTTTGATTTGGTGAATAAGAAAGCATTCAGTTTGTGTTTGTTCTCCTTTTTCATCTTAAAAGTTGTGGGTTTTTTAGCACTTTAAGAGTTACTATCTTACCTTTTTTTGGGTAGTCTTTCCTAGGAAAGAATTCCAATGCTGTCTCTGTTTCCCAACAAGCCTGTGGTTTGTTAACAAGATTTTTGTACTATAGAGAATACAAAAACTTCCCCTTCTGCTACGTTTGATGTGCAGTTGACTCTTGTTCTCTCCTTTAGTGCTTTTAGTAGAACTTGAGCCCAACAGTGAAACCTTTTTCAGTTGCCATAACGTCACCAGCTATTAAATGTGCATAGTAAAGTACAAAATAACTGCAATAGAACTTGCTTCAGTTGGTGTCTGGTAAATAGTAATCTTGTCAGTTTGGATTAACTGGAATTACACATGCCACGTGACATATTTTTTTAATTGTATTTGCACATGCAATTAATGTTCTTACTGGTGTTTATGCTTAAATTTGCAACTGTCAAGTGATAGTTCAAGCTTGTTTATTTCCTGTACTGATGTGTACTATATTCTTAAAACACGTAAAAAGTCATGCTTGATGTTAGTTCATGTTTAAAATTATGTAGTATTTTTGATGCAAATAATGTTTCATATAGCTAAAGGTGTAAAAAACTGCTTGTAGGCATCAAATTAATGTGTTTTACCCAGTTTAATGAATTTCAGGTCCATGTTCCCCTTATGTAAGAAAAGCTGAAGGAATATTTGGACAAACATATAGTGACTGATACTTAGATATATAAAATAGAAATAGCTGTACATAGCAGATAGCTACTCCTTTGTCAACAGTAGGCTCTTCATGTTGCAAGTTAGTGTTGCTGTGGCTTATTGACCTTGAGTTTAATGTTGTTTCTTGAGTACTGTGAGTAGCTGTGCTCCATATGCAGTATGAAATTCAAGCTTGGGGAGGGGATGTGCTGTAAGTAAAGCTTGTTAGTGCTTGTTTGCCTTGTTCTTGTTTTCTCTTAACAGAATTAAAGTTATCAAAACTATTTTATTGCAGAACATGCAGTGTTACCTCATACCTGTTTTTATTTCAAAGTCTTAATTATCTCTGACCATCATTAGACTCTCACCTTTCAGCCTCTTAATTCGTACTATATCATGTAGTGCAAGTCTAGTTGGGAAGAAGAGTCTAAATTTGGATCTGCATGTATTCTTTGTGTAAAACAACAATTATATTTTTATAACAATGGAATTTCAGTCTGTAAGCAATTCAGGTACTATAAACAAAATTGTAGAAATGACAGCATTTAAAGCTCTGAAGAAGGTTTCTAGGGTTTTATATTAAAATTACATTTCTCCATATCTGTCACTAAGTAGGTAATAAACATTCAGAAACTGAATACCATGGTGCTTGATTTTTTTTTTTTCTTCTTCCCAGTAGCTATGTGGAGTTCGACTTGAATGTAAACAATGTTGTAGGGATAAGAAATACATTCCTTCTGAGAACCTATGCATTCAGTAAGTTTTTGTTGTATTTTCTTATTTCTATAAATTTTTCTTTTTGAGTTTGTATTTTGGCATTGGTATACTATTAAAATTCAGTTTAATATATTATGTTAGTATATATATCATTACCTAGTTAGCTCTAAGTATATGAGAAAACATATGAGTTATGTTTTTAATTGAATATTACAATATTCAGAAGATAACAAAGATTCTCCATATTAAGGTCCACATATCTACTACAAAGGCTGCTTCAAGTATTCTGGAGATAACGAGGTCATTATACTAATGGCTATCTAGGGGTGTAATCTCTAATTTCTTTTATTTCCTTACACCCACTGACAAGCTGTGTGGCTGATAGCTAGTTGTGTCTTTATGCTGTTAGAGTCTTTTCTTGGAAAATCCAAAATACTGCTTCAGTGTTTATACAAACTCCAAATCAAAACTGGCTTGTGTCTCCTCAGGAGTTTGCATGTTAGGGAGAGACTGTGAAACAGACTTCTGAGAGGAAGGTAATATGAACAGCACTGTCAGTGCTGTACCAAAGTTTTCTCACTCAGCATCACTATGTCATTTGGCAGATAAGTACATAAAGAGTGTGCCTCAAGCTATTTCTTCTAGGGCATTTGCATTTGTTCCTTTACCACATTCTTCAGTTCTTGCATAAATGAATTCCTTTCTATTTAGGGTACGAATGTGTCAATAGAAGCTACCTTTACTAGTTAATTTTTACTAATATTTTAGTCAGAGTAGATTCTGTTCCATATTCATGTTACTAGGAGAGTCTACAACTTGTCCTGGATCAGTTGGTTAACTGTGACTTCTTCGTATGTCCAGGAAGATGTATGACTGGAGAAGGATCTCCTTCCAAGCTTAAAAAAATTAGGAAATAATCATTGTCATTCATGTCTATTGGTGAGGGGTCAGTTCACCAAGTCTAATGTGGATATATTTGTTTCTACCTTCTGCCACAGATTTCCCTTATTCCTTTCAGGAAATCACTGCAAGGCAGATGAGTCCAGATGGGAAAAGAGTGGTGGAAGGGGTCCTAGTATTCCACCTTGGTGCCCACTTTTGTAAGGCCAGCAAAATTAACTTCATGCCTCCTAATGAAGGATAAATACTGTTATTTTCTTGAGGTCAAGGAGTGATTTAATAGCTAAGGGAGACTTATGATTGAAAATATCTCCTTGATGTGCTGGACCTTCCTAAATAGACAAACTATATCAAGCATACAGCTTGTCTGTCTTGTCTTCCTTGGATCAGAAAACCCTCAGGTGGTGTAAGGCAAACAAAACTAAATGGAAACTTTTATCAAACTGTCTCTTTTGCAGTCATATCAGCAAGGGTGGATAGTGTTAGAAGTGTTATCCTGGTCACTTAAGTGTGTGGCTGAAGGGTGTTACCCTGCATGGGAGAAAAAAAAGATCAAATTACCTCTAATGTGGAAGGTGTATTGGTCTCTCTGTTGCATTAGAATGAAGTAGATGCTCAGGCAAAAAGGGGACAGTTAATCAACGTAATGAAAAAGCCAAAACTCTGAAATATTTCTGTGGGTGTTTTTCTGTCTTTTTTGAAGTTAGCCTTTCTCTGTTGGTGCATGGGTGCTGTTGAAAACATCAGAGATGATGCTGCGAGATGAGTGAAGCAGAATGTCCACAGAAAATGTAGGTAGATTAGGCAGACCTAGAAACTGAAGTCTGTGCTGTCGTGTTACCAGTGGTTTGCCAAAGGAGACGTGTCTGCAATCAAGTCAGCAATTATTGCTAGGTATTTTTCAATTAGTGGAAGCTAGACTTTTTAACTTTGAGCAAATGACATTACTGAGCATTTTCTTGAGGAGGTACCTTGTATCAGAGTATCAGAGAAGGTTTACTGGCCATATTGCACACTGACTTTGTTATATACTAATTACAGGCACTAGCAGACAGAAAAACATATCTCAGAATGAGGTCAACTGAAAAGAAATCTCTTTTATGACACACACACACTAAAGAATCATGTTTGGAATTGGAGCTTATTTGCATTTTTCTCTCATGGAAAAATCCTATTTCAGTTAATGCATGTTCATATGGTGTTTGTAAAGTAATTCTTAGCATCTCACAGTTAGTGTGCTAATAGTTACATTTTTTTATTTCAACCATGGGTGAACAATGTTGGGAATAAGGTGACCGGTGCTAAGGAGTTTTGTTGTTTCCAAGAGGTCTTCCAGATCTAGGATGTTGATTCTGAGAAGAAGAGTGGCATTTAGATGGGCATTTAGGTGCTGAAGCAACTGATGCAGTTGTTGGATGTCTTTTGTCCTCCAGTACTGATGTGCAGAGTACAAAACCTTGCATAACGATGTCAGGTTATAAAAGATACTCCAGAACATACAAGTATTCAAGGCCGTTGTAAGGCACTTGACTGAGTTGATGATCTGCTTCCACATATCTACAAATAATAAATTAAGTATGCTGCTAGGTCCCTAGAATTTTGTGGTGAGTGATACCTCCCTACAACAGATATAGTACCTTAATTAGAAGATATTAATATTCCCCAGAAATTTGGAAGATCATACCTAGAATATGACTATATTTATGTCATTCCTCATGAAATGAATATGTATTGATTTAAAGAGGTATTTTATCTAACATCTCATCTGCATAAAAAGCTATTGAGGACAAGGCAAAATTAAAATTTATGTTTGTATGCATAGGTTACTGCCTTATGGATCCTGAGGTAAACTTAAGAATGAGGTCTGTGTCCTCCAACAAGGAGAATTCTTTTCCCTGCCCTCAATGAAAAAATAACTTAGGGTCTGTCCTGGCAGCAAGTTAATTCAGGGAAAATTAGTATAAGGAACTGGAGAGAGCTTTGAAGTCAAATGTGACACTGCTGTATTGACTGATCTATCCAGTTTTGTCTTACCTGCAGATTTTCTGACATACCCATTTATAATGATCTTATTACTCAAAAGACTCTTTTCAAATGCAAATACTTGGTTCTGATTTTTATAGGATGGATAGTAGTTGTAGAATAACTAAGTAAATTCTATAAAATGCTTACGAAAGGTAACCTTACAATACAAAAAATATGTTGATTAAGTAGGAACAAATGTTGAATAATTGCTGTATAGTTAAATATACTTTTTTTGAGATTACTTATTTTACTTGCAGTTGAGAATCGAGTTCGTCCATTAGTACTGGTTATTAAGAAGTGGGCAAGTTTTCATGAGATAAATGATGCCAGTCGTGGTACTTTAAGCAGCTACAGTCTTGTGCTGATGGTTTTGCACTATTTACAGAGTAAGTATTTTTTTCCATGTTGAAACTGCCTCTTTTAAGTTCATATCTGTGTAGTTTTCCTGTTTAATAAAATCAAACACAGTAATCATCTTCCACAAGAAAGATTTGAAAGTAAGAATTTTGAAAGTAAGTAATTTTGAAAGATTTGAAGTGCATTTACTCTATTTCCTTAGTGCTGCATTTGTCTTTAACAAGTGGACCTCTTCTCTGGAAGCAGAGCTACTAGCTTTACAAAGGTTTAAAAAATTTAAGTAAATGTACCTGCAGGACACTGTGTAACTATAAGCACTAGTTAACAAAAATGCATGAGGACAGTAGCTATAATCATGTGTGGCAGCTGGCATAGCTCTCTAGAGAAGGGCAAAAAGGTTCAGATAATCCTTTTCATGCAAAACTGTGATCCGTCAGCTGTCTGGGGAGGATCAGAAGTCTACAAACCAAAGAGGAGCCTTTTACCTGTGATTCACCAGCCTTTTCTGCAGAAAAAAACCCATGTACATGTAACTAGCACCATCTCTTTAGGTTCTGATGTTTTATTCATGAAGATTTTAAAGGTGTTTTTTTTTCCTGCTACACGCATGTAATTCTCCTGGAAGTAGCCGTATCCTAGAACTTCTAATAGTGTTTTTGTTCATGTTGCTGGAGAGGGAACAAACCGAAGGCTTTCTTTTGCAATAAATAGCGGCCCTGTCTTCACTAGGCAGATTTCTTTCTTGTATTACTTAATTAATTTCCACAGTCTTATACTCCTGTGGATGTCTTCATGCACACGTTTAGTGTGGCTTCAGTTTATTTTATAGATACATCAGTATCTTGTACATGAACTTTCTTCCAGATAACAGGTCTAACTAATTTGTACAGTAAGAAAATAGAACTCATATGGCAAATGTTAGTGATAAGTGGTAGCTTTAGGGGAAAAGTCCATCCTCTTAGTAAAGCATGCTGGCCCAGATACAATATCTTGATTGCTTGTATTGCTTAGATTTTGTTGCCTTTTGTTTTAGTGGGGCAGAGGACTGGAAATTATCCAAAATATTGCAGAACTATGAGCTCTTGCGTATTTCTAAACACTCGCAAATAAAATAAAAATATTATTAAAGAAGCTGTGATCATTGTCTTAGCAGACCTGGTAGGTATATTATACTCTTTGAAGATACTCGAAGCATATTCTGAGAATTCTGCTGTTCTGATTCTTAGTCCCTATGGAAAAAGGATTCTGTAACATCTCTTCCCCTGTGAGAGCCTGTTAGAAGGGTGAACTAAGTCCCAAGTCTTGTGTACTGAATTTAGTTATTATTCTCCCTAGTGAATGATGTAGATCAGTTGTTTAAAAAAACATGCTAAAGAGATGATGTTAAAGCTTTAGTCTGAGGAGTGCTCTAGTAATTTGGTAGCTGCTCTAAAGCTTGACTGGCATGTCAGTAGTTTTGGATTTTGGTTTATCATCTAATCTGAGTGATAAGTTTTTTCCTTCTTTTTTATGCTGTGCAAGAGATGCTCTCCCAATCCATGATTTTCATAAAACATGGCAAATGTTTAATTCATTTTGTGTTTGTATCATTAATGACTGCATGATCGTTATAACATGTTTGCCATTTAGTAGATCAGCTAACAATATTAGACTGTATTTATGTATTTTGTAGGGATTTTGTAGCAATGCCTAGTAAGTGTTGGGTATTTTTCTTTAGGTTACTTTTGGAGGTTCAGTATATGATACTTTGCAGCTGAAAAATGTGTGGGTTTGCATTATCTGTAGACTTATGCTATGATGGAATCATATGTATTAGACATAGGGAAAAAAAAAGAGTGACTCTCTAATTTTTTCTTTAGAAAATCCAGGTGATGTTTTTATAGCCATGAATTAATATAAATTTGAGAAATGAAGTTGTACCCAGCTGCTGTAGAATTTTTTATGCCTTCTACATATAGTAGTATCTTGATAACAGCTTCCCTTAGCTGAATAAACTTCTTATGGTACTATATAGTGGGAAATACAGTAATAGAAATGTTTGCTGAATAACTTTTTCTTTAAAAAAGAAATGAAAGGGAAGTTCTTGATAGATGTTTTTAAGACAAAATTTCAACTCAACCCTGCAGTGTACTTGATATGATAATGCTTCCTGTGAATTATGTGAATCACAGTAACTTTAAACTTCTCTTTTTTTATAGCCCTACCTGAACCCATCCTTCCATCCCTCCAGAAAAATTACCCAGTAAGTGTTTCTTATGGTTTTACTACATAATATATGTGTATGACCTTGCTTATCTAAATATATAATTTCTTAACTGTCTCTAATGGATTAAGTCTGTAAATCTGGTCATTGATCTGCTAAACATAAGTGTGAAAGAGGTTATTTGCTGGTTTGATAATTTCTGTAGTGAAAATTCTGTTATGTTTGAGAAGATTTCACACACAGGTAGAAACAAGTGCTAATGAAAACCGCTGACTTAATTCCCTTTATGCTGGCCTGAAAATACCCCTGTGTCAATTGTAACTTTCTGGTTCCTATTTTTAATATGTTACGTTTTCATCCAACTCTGATGTTTCAGAATTCCATACCCTCCCACAGCTGTTGAGTTGTCTGATATTTCTCTGTGCAGAGTGAGTGATAAATATCTACTACGCAAACTTTTGTGACATCACAAAATTTGGCTTCAGTCCAACAAGAAAACACCTTTTTGGGACTTTGTGTCCAGATCATACATCCATATCTGTTGTATCCTAATCATACTCCGTTCACTTCCAGTGAATTCTGTGAATCAATATGCTTTGATCCCTCCAGAATTAGGACTGTTATTAATGAGATTTAATCTAAGGAAGATGATCTACCCTCCTAAATATTTCTCAGCTTTATTGATGAATAGTTCTATGCTATAACTTATTTACTGAAGTTCCTTGGTTTCTTCCTCCTTACTTTTCCTCTAGTGTCACTTTTTAATTTTTTTTTATTCATAGTTCACATAGTTTGATGTCCCTGTCCCTGTATGTTTCTGTAATTTGTTGCTGACAGTTGTGCTGAGGTAGTATCAGAAAGCTATTCTATCTTTTGCATATATTTCCTATAATGCTGAAATGGGAATATTTAATAACACTGTACATCAGGAAGAAAATGCTATGGTGTCAGCCATTATGGGTAATTAGGGTAATCAAGATGCAGAAGAAAGCTTTGAGTGATAATACACTGCAGTTTTATTTCTGTATTGTGAATCTGCTTAGGCATACCTGTGCTACATTTTTATGGTCTTTATCTTTTCCTCTGGTTTTTTTTATGGTACTATATACCTTCTCATTTCTTCACTGAGAGGGCTGAAAAGCATTTGAAGTTGTCTTTCATTTCTTGTACACTTAGCTTTATCTGATAGGGTTTTGAATTTGTAGTATTGTAAGTTTTGTGTAACATGTTATTTAAATAAAACTGTTAAGAATTGGTAAATTTTGACTCCTCCAAAATTATAATGCAAAATTATAATTATTTACATTTACGAAATAAATTTATTTACACAGTGTTTGAACTGTGTAAAGACCTTCAGACTACTATGCAAACATTAATGCCTTGTATGATTAAAGCAGAAGTATACAATACCAAAACCTGAGAAATATAATGAATTTGTACTATAAATTTGTACTAAAAATATAATGAATTTGTAATGAATTAAATGTTTGTACAAGGTTTTATCTTGTGTTATGTGAAAATGGTAAATCACCTGCAGGTACCTGTGTTTTGAGAACACAGCTAGAAGAAATGGCTTTTTACCCTGTTCTGACATAGATTTATTTTTTATTTTTTGTTCTTGTTAGTTATCTTACCTTTGGAGAATGATTGGATTACCTTTGGAGAATTCTAGGATTGCTAACAAAATTAAAAGAATATTTTATACTTGTTTACTATAAACCCAAATTTGCAAATATATTTTTGGTCTACTGTTTCCATTAGGAATATAATTATAGTTAAGTGTTTAAAAATTGAAAGTTAAAATTTCTGAATGCTGATATTTCAGAGAAATTTAAAATTAAAAATACAGCAACACAAATTTGGTCTTGTACCTTGCAGTAATAATTTCAAAGCACAGGCAAATGTCAGTATCAAAAGACACCATGTGTTTTTCTTGTGGTTGTACCTGGTTAAAGCTCTGTCTCCATACTAGCGCTACACATAAATACTACATCTCCCCTACAGACATCTACCTACAGTTTTTCAAAATCAAATCTGCAGCCTGAAAATACTTTTGTGCTCTGTTTTACATTGTTGGTACCATATAAGAGAGACATGCTTTCATTGAGGGGGAGACAAAAGGCAGATTGCATGTCTCAGTATATCCCTACTGCAAATGTGAAGGGGTGAGAAGTCCTGGAAAGCCACCAGGTTTGCCCACTAGTGCGTTCTGTTGTCGTGGGTGAGCCTCCAGCTGGCACCAAGCTGACATGTTTTACAACCTCTCGTTTAGAGTGGGTATTGGACCATATCAGATGTGGGGTTGTATTCTGGGGCTTCCTGCCCTCACTATCCAGATCAGGTAGATGATAGTAGCCCACAAAATGTGCTGATCAGTTCTGAAGTCTATGTAGAACTTGCCTTCAAGTCAGGACTTTACAGATGAGCTCTAGAGAACCTATAATGGCTCAGGCCATTACAGCTGGTGCACATTGCTGCCGCTGGCAGTCAGAAGGAAACTTGTGCCTGAGCCTCCAGTGTTCAAGCAGCCTTAAGTGTTCAAGTGTATTGCCTTAAATCAAGATGGAAGCGAGTCTCTGTGAGTGCTGTGGATAGTGAATTTTGTGGACTTTGCATGAGCACATTTTTGTATCTGCTACGTCATCTTCATGTCGTGTCTTAAAACTGTGGAGCAAAAGGTGGGGTGGTGCTCAATGTAGAAGTCAGTCCTTGGACAGACACAATTTGCTTCATATGTTGAGTTGCACTTTTAAAAAGTAAAAACATGACTTAAATATTCATTTGTAAGACTGGTGAAGGGTATTTTATGTGTGTGAATATAAAAAATGGCAAGATACTATGCTGATGCTACAACTGTAAACTTTTTTGAAGAATCTTGTACGTTCAGAGTTAAACTCATTATACATCAAGACACTCAAATATAATTTTTTTTTATGTACACTTGTCTTCCTTTCCAATGTGTAAGGTGGAATGAGTGTACTTGTAAACATTATGTAGCTTGAATATGAAACATGTTGCTCAATACTGGTGTTTCTTGAGAAATCAGCCAACCAAGGTAAAGATTAGAGATCTAGCAAAAAAGGAAAAGGACTTTGGGGTCCCTTTTTCTGAAGTATCTGGAAATAATGGATAGCTCATTTATATTTACTCCATCAGATCCTGAATTTCCTTTCCGTCTCTTAAGCTGGCTTGAAGCAAAGACACAGTAAGTGCATTAGGGACTAATTTTAATAGAAGTTGGATCTTTTGCCTTTTAGTGCAGTTAAAAAGGGAAAACTTACAGGGGTTGCCTACTTGAAACTAAGCTAATTTGAAGGATGCTTTGTAAATCCATTTTATTAGACAACCTCCTTTATGTGCAGAATCTACCTTGTTGTGTTTATCTAGTTATTCCCTGAGTCCCTCTAACAGGAAGGCAAATACTGTTATCCCTGTTTTACAACAGGTGAATGAAGATGAGTTGAGGCTAGTGGATTTTCATGAGTTGTCTGTGGCAAAGCAGAAAAATGAGTCTATGTATCCTGTGGCTCGTCTGACCTCTTATTCACTGGACACTGAGTGATTGCTTTGTTAAGAAATTATGTTAAAAAAATTTCATTGTTGGTTATTGATATATTGAATGAACTTTCTTGACAGAAGTTTTCATTACATCTTCCATATACTGAATTTTAAGTAATAACTAATTTGGTTTTACATGTAAAACTTTCTAATATGGTAATAGCTACTTCTTCCATAAAAAAAATTCTGTATTTCAGAAAGATGAAACACTGTTTTTGCCTTTATGTGTGGTGATCAGCAACTGACAGTGCTTAAAAAATAAATTTACTAACAGTATCATAAGGATGTTATTAATACTTTGCTTTAGTTAGTGTTAAAAAACCTTACTTTATTCCAGAAAATTAATTTCAGTCATACCTTCTTTTTTGCAATACTTAGTTGCCTTTTTAAGAGTAATTTTCATAGAGATATAACCACTAAACCAAGTGGAAATGGGAATTATTTATAGAACTAGGTGGTTGGTTAGCTGCTATAGACCATAACTTGCCTTTTTACTGGAGCACTTATATAGAATAATACAGGTGTATTTTTTGAAGGCAAATGCCTTTCTGAGTGAGGAAAACTTTGATTTGTCTGAAATCTTATTGCCAGCTTTTTAGCTGCTCAGGATGCCAGCCTCACTGTGCTGGCAGAATTTTCCTGCAGTTGAGAAGTTCTTGGGCATTTAAATATTTAAAGCTTGAAAAAGTTAATCTTGTTCTCCTTTTCAAAGATGTCTGCTGCCTCCAAACATTTAGTTACTGGTCTTAGTAGACATCTGTTGTAGTAATTTTAAGTTTCTATTTTATATTGTTTGGAGGTCATCGTCCCTTGTTTTTCCTTTTGCCTCCTCCCTTGTATGTTCTTGAGCTGGTATGCTGCTAGTTCTGAATTCAACTGTTGTGACTCTCTGTAACTTTCTGTGGGAATGGGCAAGGAGTAACTTTCACTCTAGTACCTTTCTGATTAACTTTAGGGTTAAAACTGTATATACTGTATGACATAGGAACAGCTGTTCCCTTTCTACATCTTTGTGTACTGCGTATCTGCTTTTTATGTCTGTGTGTCTCCATTGTTTTGGTGTCTTCTGATGAATTATAAGCTGTTAAATTCTGAGCTCTGCTAACTATGTTTTCTATGTAAAGTTGTATCATGTGAGATCAACACTTGAAATTTTTTCATTGCTAGAAGAATGGGCTTTTCTCCCCGAAGATACTGCACAAGGTTCCAGGAAGTTTTGCTAGAATTGGCAGAAGAGGACAGAAGTCCCAGACTTTTCAGTCCTACTGGTTTTGATCACTAACTGTGCTTTTCTCAGAGGAAGAGCTGCCAGCTGTGGACATGGAAATAGCATTACAGTGTGTAGTGCTTCTAGTGCTATAAAGTTTGAGTCGTGCCTGATACTACTCTTTAAAATAACAAATGAATGGGAGGAGAGGGGAGATACAGTAATGAGTGAATAAGTCTCTAAATTTACATAAATGTGTTCCTTTATTTGAAGGAAGCTTGCTCTTGTGTATCTTGGGTTAATTTTCAGTAAAATACACAACATTGCTGTAAAATAGTGTTAAAACCTGGTCTTACCAGGTTATAAAAATGTTTATTGGGAAGATATGTTTTCCTCCATGTATTCCAGTCTATCACGATAACCTAAAGGATGCAATGGACACTGAAACAGTAGAGCAAAGCTAAACCCATGTTAATTTAGCCTTGTATAGATTCCTTTTTAAGCTGGCAGTAGTGATTTCTTTTCATAGCAAATCTGACCTTTTCTTACCCCCATCATGCCCACCGCCTTCCCTCTGAAGAAAAGCATACTTCAGCTGAAGTCCTGCATTCTCTGTATTCAGGGTTTTTGTATAACTTCACTGTTGGGGTTTTTTTTTATTTATTCAGATAGCTTGGCTAGAGGAAGTGTGACTGCAGTCTTTGAACTCATTATGTGGGAGGATGCAGATTCATTTTATTGCCAGTGGGGTTCATATACAATTTGAACTCTGCTGTGGGAGAAAAGTCAGGCCTTCCTTTGGGATTGTTTCTGTACCATAGGTGTTCAAAATTGGCAATGGATGCATTAGTTTTACTTACCTTATCTCAATACAACTGCAGCCAGCTCAGTGCAGTTCAAAGATTCTCCCATGTTTAAGTTCTTTAGTAAACAGATCAAGGGGTGGTCTCACACACTCCTGTGCAAGATGATTCTACCTGAGTTCAGAGAGAGTAACTAGTATCAAGAGAGGAGCGGAAGAGAAATAGTTGTTGGCTTGTAAATTGTCCTTGAACTTCTAACAAGCAAATGATAGGCAGCTTTCTTATTGGGAAAAATATATTCATCTTGTTTAAGGCTCTCTTTGTGTGTGTGTGTGTGTGTGTGTGTGTTTAGTATATACATATATATATATATATACACACTCTGATTTTTTTTTTGACAGGAATGTTTTGATCCTACTATGCAGTTGCATCTTGTTCATCAAGCTCCATGTACCATTCCTCCTTACATCTCAAAAAATGGATCAAGCCTTGGAGATTTGCTAATAGGCTTCTTCAAATATTATGCCACAGAATTTGAGTAAGTAATAAGCTTGTCTTTGTGGTTTGGAATATGCAAAACTTTGATTCCTTCTATTCAATATAGCAACACTTTCTAATGCTTGAAGAGAAAGAATTGCAGTAATGAAGGAATGGTAATTGACAGGGAGGAAAAGGGTGAAAAGGCTAAATGACAATAGGAATGTCGATAAGTATCTGACATCTTCTACTTAGCCAGGCATTCTGTCCTGTGAAATAGGTCTAGCCGAAAGCTAGAGACTTTTGTCCTTTAAAAATTGCTAGGGCTTGTTATATTATGCTATAGTATAATGTTGCTCCTGAGTACCTGTCTTTACATCTGGCAAGGTGATGTTTGGTAAAGAGGCAAATGAGAAGACACTGCTGAAGGATAACCTCAGGTTCATGATTTCTGTTGAGCACTAGATGAATCCTTTACTACTTGACTGAACAACAAACTGTTAATCTTCTCACATATGAAAGTAAATGTATTTTCCAATAAGGAAGAATTTTCTGGTTTGCCTGGGCAAAGTAATAGAGATGATCTTGTCTAAATGCAGGAAAAATGCCTAATTTGACTTTTCTGGTTTGAGCGCTTGTGAACATCGTCAGGACCAGATTTCTGCCTAGTTGGTGGCTGGTCCAGAAAGACTTTGGTTTTGTCTGCTGTTAGACAGGATACATTAAGATATATGAAGACTTCTGCAATATAGGTATTTGAAATGATGGTAATCCCTAAATATTATTTTTTGTGATGTTCATAAACCAGGAAAAAACGTTACCTAAATTTAATCACACAAGTGAACTGATTAAAACAAGGTTTGAAAAAGTAACATTGAAGACAGGATACTTGCTGATGTCAAAGGAAGAAAATGTTTTTAAAAAACAACTGGAAAAAAAGAATATCTGGCTGGTTTTTCCACTGTCCAGTATCTGTTAAGTATTTAAACATTTGACTCATGATATTCTGTTAAAAAAAAAAAACAAACCGCAAAAAACCTCCTGTAAAAATAGGCATTAGAATTCCTGTGTTGAAAATGTTACATAGCTGAGAAATCATTTGAGGAAATGATGCACTTACTGCAGCAGTTTTTTTAACTCTTTCTGCTACAGAATTAAAACTTAGCCAGGTGTACTGTTTAATTGACCATCTGTGTATCCCTGACAACTATAAATCATGTTTGAAAGGAATAGGGTTGATGTCTTGAAGGTGTAGTAAATTTCCATTTAGTTTCTTAAAACCTGGTAATTGCCTGGAGAAGACAAATTAGTGCCCATAGGGAGGAACATGATCATGTCTTAAAAGTTTTTTGTGTGTGAGGTAGCAAGCCAGTGAGAACCAAAGAACAGTGTCATGCTAGGCACAAATGTGTTATCTTTGCTTTGAAGTTGCTGATGGAAACAACAGTACAAGTGAGAATGACGATAAGAGTTAAATACGTAGAATCACAGAATATACTGAGTTTCTTCATATCTAAACTAAACCTCCCCTGACTCAGCTTCATGCCATTACCTCAAGTCCTGTCACTGGTTGTGAGAGTGAAGAGATTGGTGCCTGTCCATCCGCTGCCCCTTGTGAGGATGTTGAAGACCCCGATGGGGTCTCCCCATCTGAACAGACTGAACAGACCAAATGACCACAGCCGCTCCTCATAGGGCTTCCAGTCCAGACCCTTGACCATCCTCATGGCCCTCTTTTGGACACTCTAATAGCTCAATGTCTTTCTTATATTGTGGTGCCCAAAACTGCACACAATACTCAAGGTGAGGCCACCCCAATGCAGAGCAGAGCGGGACAATCCCCTCCCTTGACTGGCTGGCGATGCTTTGCCTGATGCCCCCCAGGACACAGTTGGCCCTCCTGGCTGCCAGGGCACTGCTGACTCATTAAGATTGTAAATACACACAACACAGGGCTCTCTTAGTTCTGCCTTTCATGGAAGAACTAGTATCTTACTCCAGAATGTGTTGAATATTTTCACTGCTGTAGCTAGTAATTTTTTAAGGGTTTACTTTCCCTGTGAAACATTTACTGGTGTTTTTATGCACTAAAATATTGAGATTATATTTCAGATACTGTGACTGTTAAACTGGGCCATATTTCAATGACCTAGCCAGTGAACTTTCACTATTGGGCTGTAATGTGCTTGATGAAAAGATTACTAAAGAGACTAAAATTGCTATTTCAGTTTTCATAAAAGTGATTGTTGTAGGTTTCTGTCTTTTGTAGGAGTAGAATACACTACCGGGTTTGATACACAGGAACTGTTTTGCTGAATGAATAGTATGCAATCAAGAATGATCAGATCATGTGTGAAGATCATAATTTTGAACAGAATGAGTCATTGAAGCCACCTGCCTAGAATGCTTAACTACTCATTTATTTTTCGTGTATTGGTCAGGAAGGTAGGAGAAAACAGGGATGTATTGTTTAAAACTTCTCCCTCACTCTAGCAAAGGCCATCAGGTATTTAATTTAAAATATGTAGTTTATTTTACTTTAGGTAGTGCCTAATATTTAAAGGCAGGGCCCAAAGAGTATGGCAAAGGAAGAAACAAAGCCACCTTGTGTGCTGTGCAGCCATGAATAAGTTCATCTCCTTGTGCTGTGGTTTTTTTCCCTTATACTTTTAACATGTTTGATTTATTTAGACTGTAAGATGTTTCAGAAAACTGCTTATTGCCATGTATTTATACAGCACTCTTTCCACAGTTCTGCTTTGGGGCTTTCAGTGTGTCCACAAGAAGTAACTTTTACAACCCTTCATCCCTATTCCCAAAGAAATGTGATTTGGAAATTGCTACATACATTGGACTAACACACTACATATGGCAGATCTTGTTTTGCCTTTGTGGTTGTATAATTATCTTGCTATAAGAGTTCAAGTCTGCATAATATTTGTTATGATAGAACTGGCTAAAAGCATGCTTGTGACTCCATTATTACTCTAATATTTAAAATTGTCAAAGGTCTGCTGATTATGCAGTGAATGTGATCAAGTAAAAAAATGCATTTAGATGTTGTCCAAACAAAGTATTTGGAAACTGGTCCATATTTACCAGTCCCTCCAAAGGAGGTGTCTGATTTAATTTCTGCAGCTGTGAGTGAAGGCAGCAGGTTTTCACTTGGCTGTCTCTTTCCAAACTGAGGCCTTGTTCCCCTGAATATGCTGTTACGGAACCTGGAATTGGTCCTTTATGACTACTTCTCTTAAATTTATTGTTGCAAGTTATGTAGCAGTTGTTTAAGATCATTCACTCATTAAGTTGTATTTGACATGACAAAAGATTGATTACATTTTAATGACAAAATAAAAATTACAGTGAGCAGTTGCTGGCAACTCTTTTCACAGTAGAATTGGTCAAGTAATAAAGGGATCATTTTTAATATCATATTGAATTATATATGCTTGCAATTTTTATCCATCTTAGTGTGTTTATATAAGTGGCTTTGATTTGTAAGAATGCTCTGGAAAAGATAAGCTTTTTATTTTATTTGTAGTGTCATTATACAGACACCTGAAATTGCCTGATCTTTCTTTCAAATACTTGTCTTCCCTCTGAAGATCATGTATCTAATGAAGGCAGTGACAACAGAAATGACTGATAATTGAAATAGCTGTTTAAATAGCCATCGTTAACTTACAGATTGCAAATCTGTATGTGGAGAATATTTGCTTTGTGTTGGTAACAGTGAAGTTACTGTATGCAAGCCAAAATGGTTAAAATTGGTACACAAATAATTTGCTGTTGGTAATTAATTTCTAATTCAGGATGATTTTGGTACTAAGACGGGTTTAGTGAGACTATCAGATAAAACAGTTATTTTCAAATTTAAATAGCTAGAAATGTCACTTTTTTGTTGCTTTTTTGCTTAACCTGTGTATTATAAATGTGTTTATTTTTTGCTGAGGCATCGAGTATAACTTAGAAAAAAGAGAATTCAAGAGAAGAATTACTGTTTCAAGTGAAACAGTACTGCCTGCTTAAATTAAATGCTGATCGAATACTTTGTTTTATGACTTTTTTTTTTCTCCCACTGGTCTGGATCACTCTGAGTTTTAAACAGGGCTTTTAGAAAAAGCAGATGAGTTGAACTGTCATCTTCTCCTCACAACCAGTGTCCTCAGGCTGCAGTTTAAACTTGTTCGATGCTCTGGGCATATACATTTTCCATTTTCTCTCTCTCTTTTTTTTTTTTTATTTGTTGGTTTGGTTTGGGTTTTGGTTTTTGTTTTGGTGGTTTTTTGTTTTGTTTTTCTTTTTGTGTTTTTTTTAATGTGTGTTCATGTTTGTTCTTTTTTGAGCAATTCATCTGAATTAAGCTTCTGTTGATGGTCATTTATTAAAAGACATGATAGGAAAGTATTTGATGCTTCACAATATCTGTAAATCTTGCAAAAGTAGTCTACTATGGGAATTAAGGAGAGGAAGGATGATGGGTTAGAATGAAAGCTTTAGTTTGCATTGAGTGCTAGGAATCGTCATCATCTGTACTAATTTTCTAAAGAATATATCAGGAGAAGTCTAAATATACACACTGAGGTATCCTAAACCTACTTCATGTGCTACATCCTGCACTTTTTGGAAATAAGCCCTATTCATATTTTTCAATATGAATATTCTTTTCAACAAAAGAATAATGCATATGTTCTGGCTAAGTACAGTTATTCAAACAACTGACTTTCATAAGTGGTTTTAATTATGAGCTGTATTCAAGATAATTTGTGGAATTACAGTCACTGATTTTTAGCTGTCTTAGCACCACTGACTTAATGGAGTTTCAGCAGCTGGTCTGTGGCCTAGGGAGCATGTGGTTCTTCCAAATGTAGCTGATGAATTATAGATGGTACTTTAATTTCCAGTTGATATTTACAGATTTACTGCAAGTGGTTGATGTACCCAGCCCAGCTCCTCTGTCTTTGCATTATGTCAAAAGACACGTCAGATATACATAACACCAGTACAGCTAGCAGCACATTAACCACCTATTTCTAAGCGCCATTTAGTCAGGATATATGGTGATACATTGTTGGTGATCCAGGCATTTTGGTGATAGAGTAGTTCCCTGGTTTACAGAATCTTCTGTTGGAAGAGACCTTTTTAATCTGGGCAGCTTTCCAGCCACCCCTCCCGGCCTATGGCGGTGCATGGGGTTGTTGTGACCTAAGGGCACTTTGCCTTATACGACATGCCTTGGCCCATCTATCCAGCCTGTCCAGATCCCTCTGCAGAGCCTTCTTGCCCTCCAGCAAATGAACGTTCCTGCCCAACTTGGTGTCACCCGTGAACTGTCTGAAGGTGCACTTGATCCCTGCATCCAGATCACGCCCTGGTACTAAATCCTGGGGAACACCACCTTGTGACCTGCTGCCAGCTGGAGGTAACCTCTCTCTCTGGGCCCATCCATCCAGCTCCTTTTTAACCCAGTGAGCAATGCACCCATCCAAGCCATGAGCAGTTGGTTTCTCCAGAATGCTGTGGGAAATAATGTGAAAAGCTTTACTAAAGTCTAGATAGACAATTTCCACAGCCCTTCCCTCATCCACTAAGTAGGTCACCCTGTCACAGAAAGAGATCTGGTTAGCTGAGCAGGATCTGCCTTTTACAAACCCATGCTGGCTGGGCCCAATCCCCCAGTTGCCCTGCATGTGCCTCATCATGGCACTGGGCATGAGCTGCTCTGTTTAGTTAAGAGCAGCTGAAAACTGGCTGGGTAGATAAGAACATAAAACTGAAAGTGGTTGTTTTGGCTTCCATTACGTTTGGCGTGTTGTTGTGCCAAGCATCATAAAGATGTTGACACATGATAAAGATTGCCCTGTAGATTGCCTGCTGTTCCTGTTTCAGTATAATTTCCTATGGTTTTGTTACCATAAAGTTATGTGCAGAAAGTGGTAGGGAGATGTTGCACTCGTAGATCTGAAATTCAGCTTATACAAAGTGTTGGTGCTTTCTAGTAATAGGTTCCTTGCACGAGGAATGCTGGCCTGTAAGCAAGCTGTCTCTGTGTATTTTTATACTATTGATTATTTTTTAATGGAATGCAGTATGTGACTTCATCTGCACTTACTCCTTGCCTTTCTCTTCTCCCCATAGCAAATTCTAAAAGATTTGAGTCTATAATTTCTTTTGAACTTAGAAATAAATGTAGGTGTCAATATTCAGTTTGACATTGCTAGTTGAAAAAGTCATTCTGTTGTGAATATATGTTACTCATGAATACCCATGATGCTCTATTTTGGATACACTTTTGTAATTAAACTTCTGTTTATGGAAAAAATTTCTTGTTTCCTACACACGATTCCTTATTCTTATATACTGAATTGTGAAGATTAGACTGTTAAATTTTTCATTATTATAAAATATAGTGTTAACCAGGATTATGACATAGCAATTTAACAATTTTTTTTAAATGTAAACTGATACTATTAATTTGGAATTAAGTTAAAAATTTTTGCAAATTGTTTTCTTTTTTTCTAGTTGGAGCCATCAAATGATTTCAGTTCGTGAAGCCAAAGCTATTCCAAGACCTGATGGTATTGAATGGAGAAACAAATTTATTTGTGTAGAAGGTAAAATGTGAAGCTTCAGTATAATTTTTAACTGTTAAGAAATTAAATACATAAATCTATCAATTAGACTTTACCTTGGTTGTGTTTTGAGAAATATATTATGTATGTGCGTTATGTAGGAAATGAAGTTTAACCAATGTAAATAGTTTGGAAACAGTCCTGTCAAAAACATTTGAGAAGAAAGTTTTAAGTTCTGTAGTGTTTAAAAATAGTACTCCTGACCTTTTCTTCAAGAGCAGTCATTGCCCTGTTACTTTGGATCAGGGATTAGGACTTTGATAAGGAATGGCCTTTATGCCGGTCGTGTGTTTTTCTGCTCCACAAAAATAGTCATCAGTTTTGCCAAGTTTGAACTTCTGAAAAAACACACCCGGCACATATTCAGATTACTCTCGAGGAATATTCTTTGTTCTAGAAATGCTCTGGCATTGCAAGTCCTAGCAGTAATGTGTATGCTGATCTTCTTGTGGCTACTGTTTTTGGCTAGCTTGTGAATGTAGACTTTGTACAGAACAGGAGGGTACAGCCAGGCTACCTGATAGAGTTGCAGATCTCAGCCAGGTCTCATGGCAGAAGTGGGCAGTAGCACTATCCAAGTAACCTGATCCGTGTACTTGTGATGCCTTACAACTGCTGTGGGGAGTGTACGTGGAGAAGATGAGTAGTAAAGCGTACACAGGAGATGAAGCTTGCACTAGGGAAAGAGGAGCTGATAGACCAAGAGAAGGACTGAGATGTTAGGAGAATGAAAAGAGAAGCAGGAAGGACTAAGAGGGGCTGTGTAACTGGAAACAGTTATCATATAGGGAGAGGTGGCCTGGGCCCTGGCTGCAAATTAGTGGAGGCTGTTAAGATCAGGATATCAAGGGCTGAAGTTTCAGGATAAAAGAGGAATAGAAGTTGAACAGGAGCCAAATGGTATGGAAAGAGTTGTTAGACACTGGGAAAATTTTGCTGGGGGAGGAGGGGAATAAGGCAGAAGTCCTGTGGCTGAACAGACATTCCTCAAGATTGCTGAGGGTAGGCATGCACCCATGTGTGTTAGTATGTAATTTCATGCTTTTGTGCTGCTCTGTGCAGAGAATAATTACCTGCTGGTGAAAGGGGTTATTCTGTGGCCTAGAGCTCACCAACTTGGCTGTAATCATATGAATGTCAGTGTGAATCCCACATGATGGGATTCCTGTTCTTTGTTTGACTTTTTGGGAAAAATCAACTAACACTCATAGGAGAAAAAAACCACACTGAAATATGATTGCACACTCGACTTCATAGTCTCAGAGTTGAGAAATGTGAGAATTAGAGTATCTGCACAGCTGAAATAATTCAGGATAGAATAGTGAGGCATTGCCAAGGCTCTGATCTGAATGTGGGAGGTGGGAATGCTGGGCAGCTGTGTCTGCTGCTGTCACATGATGTTGATCCACTGTGTTGCAGGGGACTGTGTATTTCAAGCTCTCAAATTTTTAGGACATTACAAAGTGGTTGAATAGTTAGGTTATCTTTCTGTCAGGTTGGAAAATAGAATATCAGCATACAAAAAACAACTCTAGATTTTGCATTTAATGACCTTGATTGCATACAACTTTTCCTTAAGAATGCATTTTCCATTTGAACTATTAAAAAAGCAGAATTATCTATAGGTGGCATATCTGATTCCTTCCTGTTACAGTATGGTTCAAGGCTTAGTGAGGTTTAGCCTCAGATAGCAAGGTTTTACTTCTAAATTGGAAGGGAAAAATAAAATTTTCTATTTCAACTCAAAGTAAGCTTCATGTTTATAACAGCTGTTAAACTGAACTACTCTCAAAAAGTATGTGTACCTTGAAAAGATTTCAAAAGCTAGCTAAACATGTCAACATATTCTGGTTTCCAAATCTTTGTCAAATTTTCCAGTTAGTGGACTAAAATTTCAGTAATTGTTATTATTGCATATATTTTTAAGATATCTAAAATATATATTTGTTTATAGATTACACAAGTCTATGCCTGCAAGTTTCCATAATTCTGCATGTAGCACTGTATTTAGGCTTGCTCAAGAAAAATTGTGGGTTTTTTTTAATTGTTATTGACCTTAAGGCTAATTCTCAGATGTATTTCTGCTGTTAGAGAAACAAATATACTAGAGATGCTCTCTGCAGACAGTTTAAAATCTGTCAGACTTTTACCATTATGGGAATACAGAGATACAGACAACACTGCTTTTAGATAATATTTTGAATGTTCCTTCTCAGAAATTCTAAATTGCTAGTGACTATTTTAGTTTCAGTTTAAATCTTGTCTATATCAGGTAATATTATACTCTCATATTGAAAAAGATACAGTTTGGAAAAGCTAGAAACATGACAGTTTTGTGAGATAATTAAATGGATAGTCATTTAGGGAAATTGAATTGGAAGCCATCTCAGCTGCACTTGATTCATGCTTTCAAATCTTTCAGATCTACATGTTAAAAATAATTCAAAAAAGAATTCCTCAGGGCTTGATTGGCAACAGTTTTGAAGTTGTGTGGTTTCTTGGATTTTCATTTGGAAAGATGATCCCCTTTAGCCTTTCCCTCAAGCATCAGTGTTAAAGTTGTGTTACTTTTTTTTTTTTTTAATATTCTTATCTCTCTGTGTGAACAAAATAACTTACAGTGAACTCTCTCTCTCGATGGTTAGAAAATGTAGTGGCGTTAAGAGTAGCTGATTGCAAAACTACTCTTGCTGTGCTCCAGGGAATGAGTTTGTCTTTTGACAGTAAATATGCAGGAAGAATAAAGGGAAGTCAGCTTTTTTCCACTGATGGTTTCAGAAGATTGTACAGTTCTGCTCTTGTTGCTTTAAGGTATAGATATATCTTGTTTCAATATAAAGTACATAAAGGTTACAGCATTAAAAAAGCAGTTACCATCACATTTAAGACAAAAGAAATTCTGTACTGCTTCATATAGTAAGGGACATGGAATTCTTAGTGGCACTAGATCACTCTGTCGGATTATGTGACTGATGTTAGAGGATTATGTACTTTTTTATTTCATTATGGCTTTTTGTTCGAACCTAAAGGTATGGTGCATCCTAAAATAAAATAAATCTGCCTGTCAATGTCCACTGAACTCTAGGTAGTTTGAAGAGAAGCCTTTTAGAAAACTGCCAAATATACAACATGAAAAAAGTTCTTTGTGCATTTAAATAGCAGAAATAAAAACCTAATGCCATGGAACATGTTCCAAATTTGAAATTCCAGTCTCCATAATGGCATAAGTCTTCTGGTGTCTGGTTAATGCTTTATTTTACTATGTGTCCCTAGCTGAAAAAAAAGCAATTCATAACCAACTAAACAAAAAAGCTACTTGATCTGGCAAATACTTTTGTGGTTCTGTGGCCCTTAAGGACATTTTGCCAGTGTGAAATATACAATGTTACTTAAGCAGTTCTCTTTTAAGGCAGAAGACTATACAATCAGTTTTGTAGCACAATGTAATGTGTAGTCCCTGCATCATCATTTTTTTAGTATCTATTGCTTTAGTGTTGGCAACCCTATTAGCAGCAAGGAGTACTTTTTTAATCTTGCAATTAAAAAAAGTTCCAAACTATTACATAAATTATGTTAGGAAAAAAGGGATAAAAACAGCACATAGATTTGTAGTCGGTTAGAAGGTAGAAGCCACAAATTGTTAACTTATGAACAGATACTGCAGAATAGGTGTGAAGTGATAAAATATATTTTTACAGCAGTTGATATGTGTTATATAAAAAAATTATAGTAAATACTTTGCTATATTCTTCATATTTCACTGAGAAGCTGTTGAATGAGATGAATCTGAAGTGAATAGTTCCAGAAGGCTCATGTGTAGTAAGTTTCAAAAGTCATATTCTGGTATAATATTCTGATATGTTATAGTCTGATATGTTATCACAGACTATTGAGCTGTAACAAATAATTACTGGTGCATAAATTCAGAACAATCATAGTATGCTTCAATAGATAATTATGACTTCATTATGGATTACATATCATTAGAGCATTCATAGAGTCATAGAACAGTTTAGGTTTGAAGTTACCTTAAAGGTTATCTCTTTCCAACCCCCTACCATGGGCAAGGACATTTTCCTCTAGACCAGGTTGCTCAGAGCCACATTCAACCAGACCTTGAATACTTCTAGGGATGGGGCAGCCACACCATTCCTGGGCAACCTGTGCCAGTGTCTCATCACCTTCATAGTAAAGAATTTCTTCCTCATATCTAATCTGAGGTTGCCCTTTTTCAGTTTGAAGTCATTCCCACTTGTCCTGTCGCTACATGCCCTCGTTAAAAGTCCCTCTCCAGTTCTCTTGTAGTCCCCCTTTAGGTTCTGGAAGGTGTTATGAGGGCTCTCCAGAGCCTTCTTTTCTCCAGGTTGAACAACCCTAACTCTCTGAGCCTTTCATCACAGGAGAGGTGCTCCGGTCCTCTGATCATTTTTCTGTCCCTCCTCTGGGCCTGCTCCAGCAGTCCATGTCTTTGCTGTGCTGAGGACCCCAGAGCTGAATGCAGTGCTTCGGTTGGGGTCTCATGAGGGCAGAGTAGAGGGGCAGAATCACAGAATCCCCTCCCTTGACCTGCTGGCCACGCTGCTTTTGATGCAGTCCAGGACACAGTTGGCTTTTGGGGCTGCAAATGCACGTTACCAGCTCATGTCCAGCCTCTCAACCACAAGAATCCCCAAAGTCCTTCTTGGCAGGGCTACTCTCGATCACTTCCTCTCCCAGTCTGTACTCATGTCTGGGATTGCCCTGACCCAGGTGCAGCACCTGGCACTTACACTTGTGGAACTTCCTGAGATCCTCGTGGCCCCACTTCTCAAGTTTGGCATCCCGTCCCTCTGTTGTGTCAACTGCACCACTCAGCTTTGTCTCCTCTGCAAACTCTCTGAGGATGCACTCCATTAGGGTCATTCAGAGCATTCAGGGTTTGGGACTTTTCTTTGCTTCTCTGTTTGGTTTTGTGTTTCATTTTGATAAATGTTATGTAGAAAGAAAGCTTGAGAACCAAAGTGGAATTGGCTATTCAAAACACTCTTGAGAAGCAATGATATGTTGACCCTACTGTTTTTTGTCTGATTACTTGCTTAGTGGAGACAACCTAGCTCTTTTTTTTTTTAACATTTTTAATGTTTGTGTTTGATCTTGCAGAACCATTTGATGGGACAAATACTGCTAGAGCTGTACATGAGAAACAGAAGTTTGATATGATCAGAGGTGAATTTGCACAGGTAAAAAGTACACCTCATTCGATTTTTCCAGTCACTTTGCTTTTCAATTTAGTATACAAATCCTAGTCATTAAACCTGCCAGTTTCTCATAGTTTCTGCTTTGCGCTGTATAAATAATAGAAATGTGGGTTTTTAAAAAGAATTTGGAAAATTATTTTTAAGAATATTTATTAATGTCTGCCATTAAGCATCAGGCTTCAGTTGAAATGGGTACTTGAAATAATAAACCCTTTGTCTTAGATTTTCTTGTGTGTATAGAATTCTAATGATTAATAGTTAATAGCTTTAGAATTACAACTTTGTCTTCATTAATTATTTATTCCTACATGAATTTGATTGGTAATAGACAATGTTTTATACTTCTTACTGTCCCATTTTTAATAAATATCACCACCAAATGATGGAGTTTTGCTGATTTTTGACAATTTAATGAAGTTGGTACTTTTCTTTAGGGAGACCATACTCATAATTTTTTAGAATATGAGTATTTCAAACTGGAGCTTTCACTGTCCCAGGCAGGGGAGGAAAAGATACTTTGAAGCAAGAAAAAATTTAGATCTTGGCTAAACAGCCTTTTTCTGAAAATCTTTACTGCCAGCTTTTGTTCTTGTCTCCTATCATAGGCATTGAATTTGGAATCACAATTCTGAGATCTCAGAAATATCAGTTTTCTGAGATCTCTCACTATTGAAAAGGTATGACTAGGAATTAGTGCACAGAACTTGCTTCCAGCTTTAACCAGTTAAGACTCCCCTATTATGCTGTCCTTGGAGACTCCTCTTTACTTCAGTTATTCAAGTCCTTAAATACCTTGAATACTTCTCCAACAAAAAGTAATTCAATGCCAGATACTTGAAATAGAACAAATGCTATAAGAGATTACCTTACTCAGAAAAGGATAACCTTTTCTTTGTAACTCTGTTCAGAAATGTCCATTAGTTTTCTTCTCTTTAACCATGTTAGCATAAAAAAACCTGGTTTACATACTTGTACATAAAAGAGTTGATTTTGTGAATCTGCTATAAGTCATGTATACAAAGTAGTTTAGGCTCTCTCACTGTTATGTGAAATCAGAATTAAACTTCTCTTTACAAGTTTTCAGTGAACAAAAACTGTTTCAAACCTGTGTAGTTTTCTGAAAAATATAAAAGCAGCTGTTTGTTTGTAGCTGTTTGGAAGCCATATACAAGAGTGATACAGCCCTGAAAAAATTTCCTATTTATTAGGCATTTATTTATTTATTCTTATGGAATCACAGTTGTTCTAAAAGTACAATACTTTTTAATATCCTACACTATTTTTTAAGAAGCTTAAGGAATCTATTTTGTCCTTGAGAGATTATTCTTCCTCTGGTTTTCACTACACATTGGGATTTAAATGAATTCTGTGTAAAAACAGGAGGACTATTACAGTTCTTTGCAGGCTCATGGCCTGACAGATGTCTTGAAATTCACACTAGAATACAGAAGAAAGTTGAAATAACCTATTTTAAAGACACAACTACATTTGGGAAATGGCAGCGTATAATATTGTTTATCAGGAACTTTGACATGTGTGTATTTGAGACAACTGTTTTGCAGCAGGAATATCAATGTAATACTTAAATATATAATAATATAATAAAATAAATCCACTGTCTTCTTGAAAGTCTCTACCTTCCTCATTAGTTCATTGTGTTTTATGTATCTTTTGGATTTTACTTCCCTTAAAAAACACCAAAAACCAGCCAACCAAGAAAAAAACAATCCACAAACTGTCTTTTCAAGAAGGGGAAGATATCAACCTTGTTTTTGTGTATCTGTGATGCTTATTGCTTATAGTGGTATTTAAGTTTTAATGGCAAAGATTATGTAGTCTTTTTTTTAAAACCTTGTGCTTTTTTTCCACAGGCTTGGCGGGTATTACGAGATAAGAAAGACCTGAAATGTATATTACCTTTAAGAGCAGACGAACTGAAAAGATAACCAACTTCTTTCACTTTCTTTTTTTTTTTTTTTTGATCCTGCTGAAACAAAGAACAGTATCAAAATCAGGAGGCATCTACCCCATGGCTCTTTACAACCTGTTTTTCTCTATAAACTTTTGTTAAGAAAATTGTTTATTATAAGGATGTGACATATTTTATTACTGACATTTGTTAATACCGCTGTTCATTCAAAGATATGTTTTCTGAAAATGCTTGTATTGCTGGCTTCTAGAAGAAACTCACAGCAAACAACAAGAATAAATCTATTTCAGGGAAAGTATGGGGATATACTGACTTGTTGTTTGCATAATCTGTGTAGCCATTAATTCAGACAGATTTAACAATGAAACACTAGACATTCAAAGTTAATCAGTGTGCAAATCTGACTCCATCCTTAAGGCACTGTGCACAGTACCCACTTCTTGGTGAACAGAGAACCCATGCTTTACATCTGCTTAATTTTAGTAAGCACTTTGGTTCAACTTGGCACTTTCCAGTTTTATTTCACTTGGAATAGCAAGTGACTGTTTATGAAAATGAAGCTAGATTATGATTGGTAGTGTTCTGGATATTAAGAACTGTAATCTAAACTGGAATTTTCCAGCAACATTTCTACTATGAAGAAGATGAAATAAAAAAGCTCAATTCAATATACATAAATGCTTCATATTCACACAGAGTAGGCAAAAAAAAATTTTGTGCTTCCTTTTACATATTTGAAGTAGTAGTGCTGCCTGCTTTGGAGAAAAAGAAAAAGACCAAATCAAAACACCTCTCAACCCTACCAATGCTACAATAAGCTGGACTTCTCATTTGATTTTGTGTAAATATTTGTAAATTGGTAGCCATTGTAAAATGAATTTAAATAAGTAATATTGAAAATTTGAGCTCTTCCAAAAAAATTGCACACCCTCTCTTAGACCTCCTGTAGCACAATTTCTGCCTCTCATGTATTTGCTATTGAAGACCAATTAGTTGTTAAAACTATACTTTCAAGTTCTAGTTTATTTCAAAGTTCTAGGAACTGTAAACTATTTGCCTGATGTGTGATTACTTCCTGCACACTTCATCACAGTCTAGTCTCTATAGGATTTGGCTTGCTTTTTAAAACACTTCCTTCTGTAATTTGAACAGTCTTTCACTTTTAATCTGACTCTATCAGACCACTGAAACATTTTCCCTCCATGTGGATGTTCCCTCTCTCAGCCCTTCCTCTAAAGGATGGTAGACTTGCATCTCAGTGAAACATTCACTCTGATCTGCTTTATGTAAAATTGAAGCACAAGATTTTAGGACAGGCTGATATCTGGAATCAAAGATGCTCTACAAGCCCTAGGTGGACTTTGGGGAAAGGGGAGGGCTGCTTCTTGTTTTAAAAATATGTTGGCTGTATCTTTGTCTAGAAAATTTAAAACTGTCCCAACGTAGGATAAGCAAGAAGGGACATACATGTTCAAACTTGGCAAAAATGTATTTTAAGTGGGCTGGATGTCAGGCACAAAATTTTGTGTTTCTTACAAGTTTCCGTTGCATTGCCTAATGTGTCAACATTTCTTACACCTTAAATTAATGCTCTGTGTTTGAAACCACTTCCCTCTAACTGTTTTTAAAAAGTTAGTTAAAAAAATTGTAATACCTACATGCAACTCTGTAAAAATTTACAAGTCAAGGTCTGTAACCACAATGGTCTGTGTCTTTCAAAAGAAATCTTTTGTGTTTTTCTCTGAAGTTGATGTACTTCTGATAAGCTACATCTGTAATCAGAAATATAAACTCTAGATGGTTGATTTCCCTAGTTGTTTGAGGAAAAGCCTGTTTATAGCATATTTGTTAAATGGTGGCTGCAACTTTTTTCTGAAAACTTCTAATATAATACCACAAAATAAATGGTTTGGGGAGAGTGGGTAGGAACTGAACTTTAACTTTGATTCAGTTCTGCTTAGTCTGAAGTTGTTCAGAGGTTTAATGACCTGGATTTTCATCTACTCTGGGCAAATATCCGGAGGGAGAAATTGGGTAATAGCTATCATAAATTTTAGTGTTAGTGTGAAGTTTTTCCTTCTCCTCAGCTTCAAAATAAAAACCTTCACCCACTTATCTCTTGGCATACACCCTAGCAGGAATATTTTTTTCTGAGAAATCTTTGGTAAAAGGTGTTTTTCATGGCTGACCAAGGTTTCACTGTGTGTGCAAGATGCTGTCTTTGAGGTTTGTAACTGCCTCAAAATAAAAATGCTTTAGTTCAACTCTTTGTTATTTTAGGACTGTTCTTTTCTACTCATTTTGGCATTGGGTTTGCTTGTCTTTTCTCACCTTATATGTCAGAAACCACTAGTGTCTTCTGTAGGAATTTAAGAACTCTCTTCAGTCCTCCAGGAGTACTTTTAATGAACAGGCTCAGAGGTGCATGGGAGGACCAAACGTTAACAAGAGCTTCCATTTTGGTGACAGAAATGCAGAACTGGCATAGGCTGTAAACTGTGAAACTTAAAAGTTTCTCTTCTAGCTCTTGTTCTCACTTTTCTTAAAATGTGAATGTGTAAGTGTACTCTCAGTACCTTAAGGTATTCTGGCAGTATAAGGGTTTATTTTTTTTGAAAAAAGAAATCAATATAAATAAATTTTAAGACTCACATTATGGGGTGACATGATAATTTGGGAGAAATGGGCAGCCATAATAAAAGGATGTAAGGTGATTTGTAGAAAATCTAAAGTTAGTATTTGTGAATAACATCCCAAGTGCTTCTTTGGAACCAGTGTTTTCCTTATACTTGGGTCATTGGACTGAATTCACAGTATATTTGGTGTTAAATTTAAGTCTATCAGTGAATGTCACTCTTGGTTTATTGGACTCTACTTGCACTGGGTTGTCTTGTATTTTGTAGGGGGTTTTTTGTTTGTGTTGTTCTCTGTAATTAATCCTTGTGTATTCTGATATAAATCTTTCCTTCATTGATTTTACAGAGTATGTTGCTTGTAGGAAAAGCTTGAAAAAATACACTATTTTTGGTCAATTTACAGGACAAATTAACTTGTGAGAAGTACAGAAGGGAGAGCACTAGGTCTGGAGATAATTTGAAGGGGTTCTGGTAAAAGAGTACTCACCTTTCTTTTACTGTGCTGAAGACTGAATCAAAACTTGTGCTTAATATATAAGCATTTCTAGAAAATTTGTAATGCTTTTGCCTTCCACTTGTAAAGAATGTGAAGTACTCTACCTTAAATTTCATTGTGCTGTGTACACTGTGCTCATGATAAAATGTAGTGTTTAATTTAGTTTAATATTCATTTCAAATACACTTTTCAAAAAAGTTACATTCTCACCTAGTAAATTGTGTATGTCAGTGGGTAGGTCAAGGGAGCACAAAGATTTTGCCTGTCTGTATTGTTTTGAAATGTCGGGGGGATTTTAATTTACCTTTGCAGAGATAGCTCGTACTCAGAAATACCTGGCTGGGTGTTTCTATACTTATAGCACAAGGAAGAATTTCCTGACTGATTTATAACCACCTATTTATTTGAAGAATGGTAAAAATAATGGGGGTGTTAGGGTTATGCTGTGTATACAGTGGTTTATACCTGAAATACCTTGGAAGTTTGTTATTTAGAATCAGAGGTGCTTTTCCTCCTCTTCTGAAAATATTTTTGTTTAATTTGTCACTAATTTGGCTGGTACATGTTGGAAATATTTTCATTTTGTTTGTGAAAAGCACTGCATTTTGTGTAAAATGCAGAATAATAAAGGGTAAACGTGGCTTAACCTAAATTCTCCGTGTTAGTATAGTTTGTCTTTGGTTTAAATTAAAATTGGTTCAAGTCCACTCAAAGAGGAAATTTTAGATGTTGTGTGATGAAAAACAGCAACAAATTTCGGTTCTAAATACATTCCTTTTGTATGGTTAAATGTCACAGTGCATCTGATACCCCTTACAGTATGGTATAAATTACTAAATGCATTTTTCTGAGGCTCATCCACTAGTTATTGTACTGGACCTTTCTAGGTCAAATTTGAGGCATTCTGGGTGTGCTCAAGTGTGGAACTTGCTAAATGCACCTTTTCTTGAGGCCACAGGAGAACTCTCCATCTGCCTCAAATGTGCTGTCCACCCCAAATTTGCTAGAGGTGGCTTTGGAAGGTCTGCTGGGGCCCCAGCCCCTTCCTCCCTCTGCTGCCTGGCTGCTCTGTCTGCTGTAGAAACAGCTCTGGCAGTGGTGGGAGGCGAAGGGGCCGAGCTGCTGGAGGGGTGGCCATTCGGTTTGGACACGTGTCCTGGCACCCGGTTGGTGCTACGGCCCAGGGTAGGAACAGCGGCCACTCTGCGCTGTAACTTGGCTGCATCTATTTAAGGACTGCCCTGAGTCAGGAGAAGTGAGTGCCACTGGGGATGACAGTTGCTTCAGGCAACCCTGTGGAGGACAGGGTTGGGGGTAAAAATCACCGGACAGGGCCTGAGCTGGGAAGGGAATGGAGGGCTCCCGTGGTGCCGACTGTGATAGGGCGTCTGAGACCTCGTCCTTCATAGAAGATGAAGAAGAAGAGGAAGAAGAGGAGGAGGAGGAAGAAGAAGAAGAAGAAGAGGAGGAGGAGGAGGAGGCTGTGGACCCAGAGGAAGCAGAGGAACTGACTAACAGGTACAGCGTCCCCAGAGATTCACAGCCTCAGGGGGAGCTGGCAGCTCCACCCCAAAGCACGAGCCCCAGAGGATGACAGGATTGGGGTCCTGTGCTGTCTTCAGTGGCTTTCCCCCTTCCCTTACCCAATTGCTGTGGATTACAAAAAAAAGGGGGGGTGAGGGGAGGCTGTAATATTTCTTTTTTTTCAAATGGTTATGGCTGTAATTAAGTTTTGTGCAGTAAGTGCCTACCCCGAGTTCCCTGGAAGCTTTTCTATTTAAAGACTCTCTGATGTGCCAGCTCAAGTGGCATCTCCTTCTACTCCTCCCTCTTTGGCTGACTCTTTGTCACATACAGATNTAAATGCTCTGCAGATATGCTTGTCAGGGAGAAAATGCTCAAAGATTATAATGGTGCATTACAATTTGTTCCTTTTTATGGCTCTTTCTTCCTTCCCACTTGTCCCTCCCTCTTCGGTCTCTTGTTTCTTAAAAAAGGAAAATCTTGTACATGCTTGCCATTGCCAGTAATGACTTGTGTGTGTGGCTGATTTTTGTGGTAGAATGGGAAATACTCTACCACTTTAAGATTTTTTTTTTAGTACTTCTGTTTTCTTAATAACTCTTGCACTGAAACAGTTTGTTGTCCTAATATTGTTCTCCTACCATCAAGAAAATAACAAGCAAGGCAGTGGCCCAGTGCCCTGCCCAGTATTCCTGTGCAGGATGTGGAGGTGTCTGCAACCTGATCCATGCGGGCAGACTCCTCTGGCTTTGCCAGCACAGTTGGTTTCATAAAGAGACTGTGAGGCTTGAGAGACCCCTGGCATATAGCAGGTCTCAAGAGTTCTTCCTTGTCTCAAGCAGAGTCCATCAGTTTTGAGTAGTTACTGTAGAAAGAAGCAATTTTTTAAGAAATGTGTGTCATATAGTTCCTCAGTGCTGTGAAACCATCCTGCATTTACCACCACTCTCTGTGTATCACAGTTCAAAGTGCTTTCTGACATTGCTGATGGTCACTGGGAGCAAAAAGATGGCAGAAGAGGGGTGGGGGACTCTGTGCAGCCTAACCCACCTGAAGCACTGCAGGAATGAAAGCCAAACAGGGAAATGTACTCCAGGACTGTAGGAAAACCTCCTTGCATGGGGAGCAGAGAGCTAGTTTTCAATGGTGGGGGGATGCCCAGTGGCAGCAGTGTAATGCTGCTTTACTGCCAAGGGAGATGTTCAGTTTCGAGTCTCATACTGGCACAGGGGTTATGTGCTGATAAACACTGCTCGCACTTGTCTGTAACTCTACAAGAAAACCAGCCAAAGTTAATGGAGTGGAGTTACTTACTGCAAACAGGTAAAACAACAGTCTAGGTAATTTTTAATGGAATCTGCAATTAAATGGCTAATAATAAAACTCTAATTGTAAAACATAAGTAGGAACAGCTAAAAAGGGAGGGAGCCTCACGGTTATTTACTACTTGTGCTGGGAGGATGACTTCTCCACAAGTGCCTGTTAGCAGCTCCTCTTCGAATCATAGAATCATCCAGAAAGGACCTCCGAGATCATCAAGTCCAACCCTTGATCCACTACTGCTCTGGTTACTAGACCATGGCACTAAGTGCCACATCCAGTCTCATCTTAAAAACCTCCAGGGATGGAGAATCCACCACTTCCCTGGGCAGCCC